AGTAGTCTTACAAGTCATGCTTTCCCAGATTTGTAAGGATCATTTAAGGTCATTTAGCTCACTCTCCCACTCACCATGTAATTCCTTCATAATATTACTGTCAAATAGGTAATCATCTGCTTCTCCTGGAATTCTTTTAATGGACAGGGGTCCCTAATATCTCCAGGCCATTACAATGTTAAAGTTCATTGCTGGACTTAGCCCACTTTGTTTGGAACAAACACTTGCCTTTATATAACTTCTTTCCAGTCATCTTAATTGTACCACCTCTAGTAACACAATCTTTCTCTCCTCCCAGATAGCTATGATGCCTGCATTTAATCTTCATTCAGCCTGAAGCCCAAATCCCTTCACCATTAGCAGAGAAATGGTCTAGAGACTCCTTATAATATTGATCATTTTCTGAATTAGTGATTCTCAGTGAATGGGGATCCATGCTGCTCGGTGGGTATTGGGTTTGCCTGGGAGAACGGGAGGGCTTCTGCCCACACTGCTCCCCTCACCCCAAGATTCTAAGATGCTTCCTAAGGAAGAATGTCTTTTCTCCAATCTGGGAATGACTGAAGTGAGTACCCATAATGAGTGGATTTGTGTGAGAAGATCTACTCAAAATGTCTGCTGAAAATTCTTAATATACTTTTCTAATATGATGTCCTGATTTTAATACAGAATTCCAGATGTAGCTTGGTAATTACAAAACATAATAAAACTATTATTTCCTGTATTATTAAGTTCCCACCTGAAGTAATAAAGCTATCATTTGAGTTTTCTCAGCCCTTTCAAACCTGTAAATATACACAGTTTCTTATTAATAGTAAAAATACAAATTTTATTGACCTTTGCTGTCTCACTCAGCCACTTAGTGCCTCCTGTTTCCCATCCACACACACATATCATGTGTTTCTTGGAATTGCACAAACAAAAACGGAACACCAACAAATAAAACTATAGTCAGGTGTAGTGCTGGCTTTTTCAAGAGTATTTCATCATTTAATTCCCACAACACTGTTATGTGGGTAGTATCCTTAGTTTACAAGGCAAAAAACAACATCAGAGAGGCTAAGTAATTTACTTAGGTCCCACNAAAATAAAATTACTTACCACAATGGCTTTAAATTATTGGCTCAAATTCTTAGTAACCTAGATGACCATTCCAATTCATTCTTGTTTTCACTAGCTGTATTTCTAGAACTGCAGCCCCTTTCATTAACAAATAAGAATAATAAAATAAATAACAATGAAAAATACACCACCTTCAAAGCAACCCAAGTTAGCTCAGGGCATAGTGCAAATTAAACAAATACAAAACACACTCTGGTAGAAACTGCCATAGAAGGAGCTAACTCTGTATTAGAAATCAGGTGATTGATAGCTGATTGATCTTATGGGAATCACATGAAAATTGGCATACAAAAGAAAGAGCTATTTGAAATACTGTCATTGAATTTATTGAAAACAAGCATATATGAGGGGACTTCAAAAAATTCATGGAAAAATGGAATTGAAAGATAACACAAATCTTTCCATGAACGTTTTGAAGTCCCCTTTTATATGTTCTCATGCAAGCAGTCAATCAACAAATATCTGTTGAGTACTTATCATGTACCACTGAGATAAATGTCAGGTGTTTATTCTGATTTAAGATGCTGGAACAGTCTTTCTAATCTAACCTATGATTTTTACAAAGAAGAAAATAATTTTCTGCTACATGGTTAAAAACTTTTAGCAACAAGCTATAGTAACAAGTCATCTAAAGCAACTCTATTCAGTTTTAGACTTCTACAACAATTACAATCCAATTATATACTACCCATCAGCAAAACTTGGAGCTTCTTCATTTTGAGATATTCATGTTCATGGAAAAACTGAGGTAAAAGGCATATTTTCAATGTTTTGACATATCCGAGTTCCTGTGGTCCCTAACTTCTGATCAGGTTTAAGAGACAGAATGAACAGAGAGAGGAATGT